CCTTAATCATTAGTTTCACACTCACGGTCTTTTATCCATACTTATCATTATATCTTGAAAATATCTCCTATTCCCATTTCCTTTAGTTAGGCTTTTTACTTATCTTCAGATATTCTTTTCTTCCTCATAGTCAAATTCTTATTTTGTTCTCCTTTTAACACATTTCTTTTCTGCAACTATCACCATGTCACTTGCAGTGCTTTTCTTGCCCCCATTACTGTGTCATTCTTTCTTGCTGTTTCATACAAGCCAAAATAGCAACCTTACACACTTTGTCACTGGTTTTCCAATATGAAGTGCCCACAGCATGGCTGGATTTTTTTTTTATGTTGCAAACTTCAATATGGCTTTATATGTTGCAGAGAGGTGAGGACACTGACAGAACTCAATAATGATCCCAAGGTTTCAGTCTTCCCATTCAAGGTGGAATATACCTTTGCATTCGCCAGTTCCAGATTTTCATTTTTCTATGATCTTTCAATTCTATTAAGCTTTCTCTAGTATAATTTCAAGCAGTCATTCAAGATAGCTAATTTTGAAGGAAAAGAAAAGATGTTAAAGCACACCCAATTAAGAGATGTGGTTTGATACAGTGTTGTCTTGAAAAAAATTAAGCTGAAGAATAGAAGGACAACTGAAGGGAAACATGATGGATTAAGAACTGGATTAAGGAGAGAAAGCAAAGGTAGTGTTAAAAGGAGGTGTCATGTTGAAAGTAGCTTGTTAATAATGTTTCTCAGCAGATGTTTTTTGCCATAATTGCATTTAACCTTTTTACTAACGGCATTGGCTGTTTGAGGAAATTTGTTAAAAGCAGGAAGAATATAGTGTTACTAGTTTAAAGAATTTATATGTCATACAAAAAGGACCAGCTGACTTTGATGAGTAGAATGACAGATGTGTGCTGAAATTCAGCAGCTCAAAATGTAATAATAATAAAAATAAGTAGTATTACAAATTTAGACTGGAACTTAGAATAGAGAATCTTGCCTCAATCAGGATTAAAACCAGCCTTTCAATAAAGTGGGTGCTCTTTTTGGTGCTCAAATTGTTTATGAAAAGTGTTTTGTGATACATCTGCAAAAAAAAAAAAAAGGCAATTTAATTTCATTTCAGCACTGCAATTTGATCCCGTGATTCAGTGATTACTCTCAATTAAATGGGTTATGTAATATAAATATGACTTTCTAGAAAAAAAGGATAGATACACTTCTTTAATGAAGGAATTTTTTGGTGTTTAAATGATGTGTCAGTCACGCAGCCTAGAGAACAAACACCGTTGGCCAAATCCTCAGCTAATAATAAATCATCACTGAACGTAACAAGCTGTCCCATGTTGTATCAGCCTGGTTGTAAACTTTGAACTTGGTATGGCAACTTCTATGTGCAAAGATCTTTGTCCTTGCAGAATTTGAGCTGGAATGGATGAGGGGAAAGAGGATTTATACCAGCTGACAAAATGCCTTGGGTAGTATTTCTTTCCAAGTAGCGCTGTGACACCATGTGTAACAAAGTGCCTCCAACTTCTCAGTATAGAAACAGATACAGATTGTTTTATATTTGGTTCTGCATGCTGAACTGCATTATTTGGTTCTGCATTACTGTTTGCCACATGAGAAGGAAAACAGAAAAAGTACTGTTTATTTGTGCTTGAGAGGCGTTTTCCTGCTATTCTAAACAAAAAAATAGATCGTTGACTGCAAACAGCAGCTTGTATGCAGAAAGCAGATAAAAGACTGCTATGAAAACATGGCTATAATCTCACTTTTATATAGTTAAAATCTCAGTCATACCTTGTTTAGTGCTTAGCTTTAGCATAGTGGTTTTTGTCCTAGCATTTTCTTATTCAATACAAAGATAAGGCAGCACAAGAAGATCCTCTATGCTTGTTTTCTTATGAATGATTGTACTTCTAAATACAAAATATACCAACGGTGAGTTTTAAGTAGCACATACCTCTACAAGTGCATTCACAGTTAAAGCAAATCTGCTTGCTTTGTAGTTCATGGAGTATGTGGTCAGCTTGCAAGACTGAGCTTCCTTTTTTCCACTGTTTTAACATATTCAGATGCAAATGCTTTCAATGTGTTTGGACCACAGTACAGCAAAATGTTGGTATCACAAGGATGTGCTTTGAAGATTGAACTATGGCAATTTAGATGTGTTCTAAGAAAAGTTTTGCTTAGTGGAAATTCAGTACGAAATTCTGTTTTAAGAATTTGGGTGAGAAAACCCATCCATTAGGATTCAGATGTTTTTAGGGTAAAAAAAAGTCAGAATGATTCCAGCACATAGTCCTAGGGGGCTGCAAAAAAATAGTGAAATGGAGACAACTGTAAGATTATCATAATAGATTTTTTAGGCTATGATTTTTTTGTATCTAATGCAAGACTCCATCACAAACTAGAAAAGAAGGCAACAGAGACAGAAGCAGTGAAACACACTACGACAGAGACAGTAAAAACACGATAAAACACTAGTACCCTACTGAAAAAGAATTTACCAGCTTTATTAAGGAAAGAAACTAAATGACAGCAGTAGCATTCAAGAAGGTTAAGTATGTAGGTAAACTTGAACTGTACCTGGGTTGCTCTGTAAATCGACTTCACTTTTATTCATCTCATGCTCTATAATTCCAGCACCGATACAATATTACTGACTTTGTTTTTTTACTACTGATGAAACTGAACAACCGTAGAGAATCACATCTCCCTACTGACAATGGATGTCTTGCAGCTTCCTCTGGAGCACTTGGACATACCTATTGTCACAAGATACAACTGCAGATGCAGGACTTAACAGCCCAACACTGCAAATGTTATTTCAATAACAAGAGATCTGTTGCATGAACTTCTCATGGAAGATCTTGCCTTTTCTTACCACTTTCCTTTGGAGGATGTACACAACCACTTGAGTTGTTCTGTGTGCTAGAAATCTTCAAAGCATTACCAAAAAGATTTTTATTTTCTCTACCACTACTGTGAGGATTGCCACAACATGATTGTTAGTAGAGATCATGCATCAGCAGCCTCACTAGTGTATTATCCAATTCTACCTGAGGGCAGATGCAACAATTATGAAGCAACCTCAGCCTTGCTTCTGAGCTGCCCCTTCTGCTGTTGTAAAAACTAACCCAATCATACAAAACAACTTACTAAGGAAATGTTAAGGAAAATGTTAATGGAGATAAAGCCTGGTTACACACAACAGTTTTTGCATGACCTTATTTAGATTAGAGTAGCTTGCTCTAGTCTTCAGGAGGGGGGACACAGTTCCTTCTGAGCTTCATGTAACACTAGAATTCTCTGGATAGAATGCACTCATTGGATCAGTTTGACATATTTAGCCTGTGATCTCTGAAGAAAAAAACACTTGTCACTAGATCTTGCTCAGAAGAATCAGCCTAATAATGAAGGAAACAAGTTTAAGAGCAGTGTTAGCTAAAAACTTCCCATCAAACGTGGGCTGCTTTTTATTGGGAGCAGGATGCGGGTAGCGGGGGAGGTTTCAGGCATGAAATTACATTTTAACTGAACACCTTTTTCTACATTCTTTGAAGGGCAACATAGTCGATTAACCAAGACACCAAGAAGTTGAAATAGAAATACCATTGGGTGAAAAATATCCACTTTTTGGCATTGGACTTTTTATAACATTTCCAGAAAAGTCAGTTTTCAAAAAGAATTTTTGCCAAGTTTATTCCCCTTTTTCTCCCCATTTTCTTCAACATTTTGTGGTGTATCCATACTCCTTTACTTTTCGAGCAGCTATATTCAAAAATGTTGGCTGTCTCTGATGCTTACCATAATCTATCTGCATGATCTTGAGCAGGTTCCTCAGTATTCTTTTGAGATAGTTCTTTATCTACAGGAAAGGGACAGGGGTTTTTTCCTCCAGTGTACCTGTTGTGAGGTTACTGATGCAAAGTTTAATAATTTTTGTGAAGTATTTCAATTTTTTCCAATGGGTAGCACTGAGGTAACTATTTGGGATCTTTCATTACCACCCAGACACATTACAGACAGGTATTCTGTCACTGCCAACAATGACTGCATCTGTTTTGCTTTAAAATATCATGAAGGAGACATTTTTATTTTCTGGCCAGGTGGAATGGAATAACTCATGTCCACACAGTTTAGTTCTTCTGTCTATAATAGGAATGGACACATGCACATTACATATTATTCAGAGATGTCTCTAATTTAATCTGGATCTCACAGACCTATCTGCCTTCTCCCTCTATGCATAGACAATTTAGGCTTCTGGAACTGCTACCCAAATTCCTAGATCCACTACCAAGTTCCCGGCGTGCTGTGTGGTGTCTGGAAGAGCACAAGCTCTAGAAATGCAAGTAAGCAGTATGTGGGAAACATTAATTGCTGTAGCTAAACAGTATTAAAACTAAGTCAACTACACTAAAAGACAGAAGCTTTGGAGTGCCACTGCCTTTGGCACAGAAGCCTTTCCCAACTTGATACTGGGCATGCCCCTTAGCCTCAGAACAAAATTGTGGAAGCTGCTCCCTACTGTCTGAGCATCGGGGGTCTTCCACTACTTCACAAAAAGATGCAAGAGATTCCTGTCCTATTTCAGAGTACCTGCAGCCTCTCTTCAGCAGAAACTGCATGTCCAAAAGCTTCACGTTCACAAAAAACTTTGTCTGGCATATTTTTAATATGTTAAAAGGATCAGTTTCTCAGATTATGTGGATTTTGAGTTGTCAATAAAAAGGCTTTTTGTGACAAATGTTACATTCCCAGCTGAGGGCCACTAACTAGTTTTCTACATTGAAGTCACAAGGATAATGCCTGGCAGCTTCGTGACCACTAAGAAAAGAAGAACAGGATTGGATATTGGGAAAGCATGTTTTAATTGTGCTCCATAATTTTTAGCACTTAATGAGAGCCACAGAGCAATGAATAGCTTCTACAGAAAGAAAGTAGCTGTGCATATTCCCCAATCTTACATCCCAATGCCCAATTGGTTCCAGTTAGACTCACCTCCCGATCTCATAACAATGATGGTGAGCAGCACAAACATATACACAGTCTTCCCAGAAATCTTCATGTTGGTTCCTGCTTTCATGCCTTAGGCAGCTCCGTCACTCCATCCATCCCGACACCAACCTAACTGTGGTCACGGGGAGAGTTTATTGCCTCCCAATGCACCCTCAGCAGTCGGTGTCAAGTGTTTCCTCTCTCCCTTTCCAACTCCTCTCTTCTAGCTGTGCATGCTCCTGATCAACTGGCTCCTCAAAGCTGAAGGGGTTCCTCCTTCTGACTTTTCAGAGCACTAAGCTTCCTGTGCTGAGAGCCTGGGCGAACACTGAGGAAACAGGCTGAGCAGTTCTGCCTTCCGTTCATTGGCTCTCCTCGGGAGGCTGATAAGTGAAGATAAACCCTGCAGCAGAGTTCAGAAAGGGTAAAAGCAGAGGAGATTATGCAAGGTTGAGTTTAATATCAAAAAGGAAATGTTAGTCTTGGGAAGCTAGAGAAAAACTTATTCTTTATGTTTGTCATGTCTGTTACTACTACTACTTCTTTGACACTTCTTTGGTACTACCTCCAAGACAATTCTTCCTTGTATCTTCCTCAAGAGAAAAAAAAAAAAAAAAAGCAGTCTCAAACCTTTTCTGTAAGTGACATTTTTAATTATTTCTTTCTTAGCTGCTGGCAGCACAGTTCTCATCTTGAACAACAAGTCTATCCAGACCCTGAGAACAGAAACTGAGTTTTGAGGGGAAAGAAAAGTCTATTTTAAATTCTATTCAACAGAAATGAGACAGAAACTGAAGGTGGCCTACATCTTTCACTTAAAAATTGGTTTGTTTGGGGATTTTTTTCAGAATACTCTTGTGAGGGTTGTTTTAAAATAATATTGTACCTGTTTCTCCACTTCCTCACTGAGCTACTAATTTCAGATTCAGAGTTCTGTCTCCCTTCTTAAGCCACAGCACTTCCCTAGTACAGTTCTGTGGGTCAAGGAGAAAAAAGGCTTCAGCTTTTTGTCTTGTTTGAAAGCTAGGAGTCAGAGTAATTACCACTGAGGACAGAGACATAAGAAGTAAATACAGAAAACAGATCAAAGTTGGCAGGAAATGAACTGCTGAGGCACTAGGACTGCACACCATGTTTGAACTCTGCTGATGACTGCTGTCTGATATTCTGGTAATTTTTTTTGATCAGACTGGTGTTCCAAAATTGTCTGCATTGATGTTCAGTGGAACAGAGGAGTGTGAGTTAAGGTCTTATGTAAATAAGTAAAAAAAAAGACTGATAATGATCATGTAAAGAAAATAATGTAAGACACAAATTTAGCTGGATCATCTTGGTCCCAGGATCATCTCATTGGCTATAGTTTTTTGTGGGAGGGTGTTCTGCATATTTTCCCCCCTTGATTTTTTAAATACAATATCACATTTTGACACTCCTCCACACTGTTCTGAGGACTTCAATGTGCTATTTTCAATAACACTAGTTTGTTTTCTGAGTATTTATCACTGACCTTGGAATTAGTAATGCATGTGAATAGATATCATAGCTGCATTTTAGACAAGGGCATGGAGAGGAAGAAGAGGTCTTTTTGTAAGTAGAGATTAAGATACAAGGCTGGAGAGAGAACATGTAATCAGTATCAGGCTTCCAAGGTAAAAGAAGTGGTGCTCAAATTTGATGCAAAGACAAGAGGAAACTAAGGTGGTATAAATGTGCAGATGTGGTGTATTGGGTACAAGATTGCTGCATAAATATAAAAATTTAAAATATTCAATGGGATAGAGGAGATTTTGGAAGAGAACAAACTCTCTTTTAAACAAGAAAAGTCCTACTTTAAATTGTCATCATGAAAGATCTTTGCTACAGGAAATTCATTCAGAACCAGAAGTTAGACAGATGGATTCTTTTGGTAGGAAAATATTATTTAAGATGCCATTAAGACTCTTTGGGAGCAACTTCTAGTTGAAGGCAGCAAAACTTGGGAAGTGTCACAGAAGTCTGCGGCAGGACATGACAGGAAACATAAGTTTACCACAAGAAGTGACGAGCATTTTATTTCTTAGTCATAGGAGCCTGTTCTCTAACTTGCACAATGACAGCCAGGATCCCACGACATAGAATTCACAGGATCCTAGAATGGTTTGGGTTGGAAGGGACCTTCAAGATCATCTCTTCCAACCCTCCTGCCACAGGCAGGGACACCTTCCCCAAGAGCATGTTGCTTAGGGCCCCATCCAGCCTGTCTTTGAATACAGCCAGGGATGAGGCACCCACAACTTCTCTGGGCAAAATCTGTTCCAGTGTCTCACCACTCTCACAGTAAATAATTTCTTTCTTATATCTAATCTAAATAAATACCCTCTTTCAATTTAAAGCTGTTCCCTCTTGTCCTACCACTACATTCCCTTGCAAGCTCCCTCTCCATCTCTCTTGTAGGCCCCCTTTAGATACTGGAAGGTTGCTATAAGAACTCCCCAGAGCCTTCTCTTTTCTAGGCTGAATAACCCCAACCCTCTCAGCCTGTCTTTATAGTACAGGGGCTCTAGATCTCTGATCATCTTTATGAACATCCTCTGGACTCGCTCCAGCAAGTCCATGTCCTTCTTATGTTGGGGACACCAGAACTAGATGCAGTACTCCACTTGTGGGGTCCCACCAGAGCAGAGCAGAGGGGGAGAATTACCTCCCTCGACCTGCTGGCCACACTGCTTTTGATGCGGCCCAGGATGTGTTTGGCTTTCTAGGCTGTGAGTGCACACTGATGGGTCATGTTGAGCTTCTCACTCACCAACACCCCCAAGTCTTTCTCCTCAGGGCTGCTTGCCCCGACCCAGGTGTGGGACCGTTCACTTGGCCTTGTTGAACTTCATGAGGTTTGTACAGGCCCAACTCTCAACCCTGTCAAGGTCCCTCTGGATGGCACCCCTTCCCTCCAGCATGTTGAACACACCACACAGGTTGGTGTTGTTGGTAAACTTGCTGTGGGTGCACTCAGTCCCTCTGTCCATGTCGCCAACAAAGATGTTGAACAGCACCAATCCCAATATCAACCCCTGGAGGAACACCACTCATTACTGCTCTCCACGTGGATGTGGAGCCATTGACCACAGCTGTTTGAGTGTGACCATCCAGCCAAATCCTGATCCACCACGTAGTCTGTGCCTCTCCAGTTTAGAGACAAGGATGTTGTGTGGGACAGCGTCCTGTGCTATGTACAAGTCCAGGTAGATGACATCAGTTGCTCTTTCCTCAGCCACCATTGCTGTAACCCTGTTGTAGAAGGCCACCAAATTTGTTAGGCACTATTTTCCCATAGTGAAGCCATGTTGGATGTCACAAATCACCTTTTTATTTTCCATTTGCCTTGGCATAATTTCCAGGGGGATCTGCTCCATGCTCTTGCCAGGCACAGAGGTGAGAATGACCAGTGTGTAGTTCCCCAGGTCTTCTTTATTTCCCTTTTTAAAAGTGGGGGTTGTGTTTCCCCTTTTCAGTCAGCAGGAACTTTACCAGACTGCCATGACTGGTCCTGAGAAAGACCAAAGTGGGACAGAGGATGACCCAGATGGAAAAATAATGCATGTAGAGGAGTGAAATTTGTCTGGTTTTGCTGGCTGCATCAATTAGAAGTGTGGTGTGCATTTCATGGAAAGGAGAAAAAGTGGAAAGAAAACTGAAGCCTGAGACGTAGTCGAGGATGAAGACATTGTCAACAAAGTGCAACTAAGGATACATTTTCAGTAAGTTCCCATTTCCACACAGCAGTAAAGTCAAGCACTGTTTAAGGTGCTATGCAGAACCATCACAGCCTTGCTGGAGACTGAACTTTCCCTGTCTTCTCAGTTCTGAGAGCACAGATCTAGGTTCTGCCTGTGGTTTTCATTGTGGGTTATTGCAGAACTATTTTATGTTAATTATCATCATGTCATCAGATATTATTTGACAGTCTCTGTGATCTGCTCTGTTTGAAGTGGTTTTACTCAGCTTAAAGTCCTTGCTGACAGCAGATTCCATTCAGCAAGAAGTGCAGGAGCTGTAAAGCTGAATTTTAATCAGCAAGGTGCAAACAAAAGTTCATTCCAGGAACTTCAATTCCAATGGTGACAGGAATATCAGAGTGCTAGAGCCCCATCTGGTATAAACTTAAGCTGGCCTGGTCTTCTGACTTCACATGAAGCTGCCATGACTTTCTCCATGTGTAGCCGGTTGTAGTTGGCTTCCCACCAAACCCCACAGACTACAGAAGAAAAGCTCCCAGAAGAGAGAGAAGAAAAAAAAACGGAATAGCAAGAGCTATATAAAAAATATATATATATTTTACATATATTACAGATATACAATTAAGGTGCTATGTACATATGAACACAGGAACCCCAAATCGCTCCCAAAAGGGAAAGAAGGGAAGGGGGAAAAAGGACATAAAGGGACAAAAATGGACAAAACCAAAACAGGTATGCACAATCGAAAAAACCCAGTAACTAACAAAATAAAGAACTAACAGAATCTCACCACTTCCCTTGAGAAAAGCAGTACAGCCAGACGCAGCCCAGCACTTCTCCCCTCACGCATGGCAGACAACAGCAGTCACTGCAGGCCTCAGCTCCAGATAAGCAAGACCGAGACAGGGATCTACCATTCCCAAACCTCGCTGGAAGAAGAGAGAGAGGTCTCTCTGACCAGCTTTATTTATACCTCAGGTTATGTAAAGGAATAGCATGGAATACTTCCTTGGTCACTTCTCTAGTTCCTTCCTGGTTACAAGCTGGTCTCCAGGAAGGCCTAGACTGAAAGTATCACACCATGTAAGAATTCGCCCCGCTGTCTCTTTCTGTGTCAGCTGAGGATCCTAAAGGTACAGACAGCTCAATAGGCTGCAGATAAATAAGTAAATCCAATTATCTCTGAAGCCGGAAATGGTTCTGAAAAAAAAAAAAAATCATGATTTTCTATGTACTGATAGATCTGTTTTGCTCACTGAGTAAGTAAGTACTCAGTCCATGAAATACAATGGTTTTGTGTGGCAACTTGGCAAGGAAGTACAGTTAAGGCTGGATTACACTATGCAATGGCCTTGTTCAATGTATAGGGCATTAAAACCAATTTAATTATTTCAGAGATAGCAGTGTATGTTACAATTGTCCCTGAATTTCCTGCCTTTTGATGACCTTAGAACCTAGAACTTGTTATAATGATGGAAAAATAATTTCAGAAGTTTTATTTGCATACTCAGTAACAAAAGACATTAATTTTGTATATGGAGGTATGAGAAAGAGAAAACAAAAGTATTGGATAGCATCATTCTTGTGTGGGCAGATGCAAAAGTTCTATATCTACTTAGCTGATGCACTTTGCTCTGACTGGCTGTTCCTCCAGCTATTCCAGTCCTTGCCTCTAACAGAGTTCATCCAGTCTACCTGGAGCATGATTGACAGGTCTGCCTCAAATTTGATTGTCTCGACCTGTGCAATTGCAGACTGTACTTCCAGCCTTTGTTTTCAGCAAAGGCCATGAAGGCCAGCATGCAGTGGTCATTTCCTTGCCCATTGATCCCACCACAAGGCAAGTCCTCTAGCAGAATGGCATAATGCAGCAGCCTGGCTATGGAGATATAAATTATAAACTTTGTGGCAGCAAAGTGCCATAATATGCTTATAAATCAGCTTCCTGGTTGTTCTGTGGTTGGGTATTGTTTATTCCTGGAAACACCCACACACCTGAAAGTCCTAACGAGAATAAAGTTAATTTTACACAACTCTTACTGGAGGGTAGGTGAGACTGAGGTGAAGCCCACACTCCCAGAGTCCTTCTCCCTTCAAGGAAGTTTGCATTTAATAGCAAGACTGAAACTGGGGGACCTGACTTTGAATTCAGACTGTGGTGCACACTTTACATACATGTGTAGGTAAATAAAACATTATGTTTCAAAGTACTCCTGAGGGTGCTGAATGTAGAAGTCTGCAGCCTAGTCTTAAATTCTGCTTCCCATCACTCCTTGGAGTCCTGTCCTAATAGCTTCTGCAGGCCATGTCCATGCTGTGCAGATGACGACAGTGCCGAGCTCCCTGAGCTGGCTGCGAGCTGGCTTCAGAAATAGATGTTGTGTAGTCAAGTCAGCACAGCACTGCACATAGCCAGGGCACAGAACCTTGTTCATGCAACTAACTGCTACCCAGTGGAGAGGAATGAGTCCCCAGTGCCATGCAATGAGCTCTCAGCTTACTTGGAGCCAGTTGGATCACTGACATACACCAAAGGCACACAAGCTCCTGCTGGTATGAAATGTTGTGGCTCTCTTAAAATTAGCATTAAGAGCATTAAAATGCATGATGTCCTCCTGCCCCAAACTCCTGCACAGGTCACAAGGCCTGGGAGCTCCATCTTATGACTACACTGTGGTTATGTTCTACCCTACCTCCCAGCAAGGCTCCCCTTGAACCCTGCTCCAGATTGGACAAGGAAGACTAGGCTTAGTTGCAAAAGAGCACTGAGAGCGGATGACTGAAAAGTGGGGAGGAAGTGAGTCAGAGGACCAGATGAACTGAGATAGTTGTTTCATGAGGGAAAAGGAGCAGGAACGTCCAGATGAATCCTAACTCCCCTCTGTGCTGGAAGTCAGTACCACTTTTCTTTGGTCAGGAGATTGCACAGAAATGAGGAATTGTTAAGGCTTTTCTTAAATAAGAGGAAGAAGATGTTTCACTTCTCCAGTTCCTTAAAACATGGAAATACTTGGCTTGAGGAATGAACAGGATATCTTCACTTGACAGCAAAGCCTGAGGCTATTTTTTTACCAATGGAGATTCTTCCTAGCAATCTCCCAGGACAGGCAAGCCAAGGATATGAAGGAGGAAGTTTTGCACTTGGACACCACTGGCAGCACATAATGACATGGCCTGGAAATCTGCTAGCTCAGCTAGTTTGGGATTAACCTTGGCACTGCTCAGCATGTTGTGCTGTGTCTATTATCCCCGGTGTGTCTGCACAGAATACTAAGACTGTATGCGATATGTCCTCCATTATTTCATGTAGCTGGACTAAGAAAGCATGAGAAATTTGTGAGACATTCTTCTCTCACATAAGTCAATGGAAATCAGTGAAAAGAAACTGATGTATGGAGGTATTTGCAGGGTGTGGGGCATTTATTTCATTTTCTGCAACAGATGCTACATGTGTAAGCAGAAGCAGGAGATTCTTCTGTTTGATTTGGGGGTTTGGACAGTTATTTCTGTCTTATTTTACAAATAAGGCTGAGAGAAGATAATTCTAACAGAAAGGACATTTCTATTTCTATTGAAGAAATTCAAGTCCAGCATCAGATCATTCACAGAAAAGTACAAGACATTTTCTAATCTTCTGGACTTAGGTATTGGTTTAAATGACAGTACATAAATCTTAATATTCGTTTCAGTACTGTGCCTGCATTGTTCTAATTTCTAATGTTTCCACAACTCATGATTATCTCTTTTATGGAGACTTGCTTGTTTTCTTATTTCAGCAATATATGGTGATAAAGATGCACGTGGCCCATTTATGCAGTGAATGTAAAGTTACTTCCTTTTCCTGCCTTGAAGTTGGTATGAGGTGAGGTAAGCCCATCACAGTTGTGTTGGGCATAAAATACTTCAATTACAGTTGGTTTAATTAAGATATGCAAATCCAAAAGAATCTCTAGTATAACTCCAGAAAGGTCAGTTTATTCATAAAGCCTTTATATTTCCTGATAGTCTCAATTATTTTAATGTGTAGGATGGAATTTCCTGATTTCATGGTGCTGTTCTGGACACTTTTTCAGGAAGGTAGATTTGATCTGAGGGTTTCAGGATAGTCCAGAGGTAAAGATCTCTCTTCCAGTTTTGCTGCTGGCTCATTCTGTCACCTTCCCTTTTCATAAGTGAATTGTAAACACTGCTTCTGTCTCAGAGAAGCTCCAGTCCCAAGGCTACATGTATCCCATACATATAATGCATATGTTATGATGGGGATGCATACATTGGAAACTGAGAACAAACCTGCTTCTCCCATGTAAGCAGATGATAACCTAAACAGTTCATTTTTTCTGATACTGATGCGTGACTAGGAATCAGCCCTGCTTGTTACAGCAGAACAAACAAGGCCTGTCTGGGACAGGGAAATACCAGCTTACCATTTGCAATGTGCGATTAAGAACAGCATCAGGGAAGGTGTGGGGGCAGTGGGGTGCTGTATGGCATCTATACAATATGAAAAATTGAGACTTGATATCCCTGAAAGTTAAAAAGTAATTTCTCAACTTGCTGGCCACAAATCATATCACTGCAAAAGAAATGCATTTGCTTGGGTAGTTTTGCTTTGTAACAGCAGTGGCTAAAACATGAGATCTAAGAGCCATATGACTCCAGCTGGAGTAGAACCCCAAATATCACTTAATTTCAGAACTTGGCAATACTGCCAACAATTCAGATGAAGAAAAGAACATGATGGTAGAATCCTGGTAGTGACAATAAATTTTGCTTTCTATGTTTTAATTAGGTCAGAATTTCTAAACTAGATATTGGTGAATACAAGTGATGACATTTGACATTTGCAACTCCCTAGTGCTTGGCAAGCCTGACTGATCAGTAAGAAGAAGGAAGCAGTCAGTCAGAAGCTGAAAAATTGTAATTTGGGGACTAACAATGACGTGTTTCCACATGCTGCTTTGCTCTTTCTTTAGAAACTGCTGTAGCTGCTCTTTGGGATGAAAACGTTGAAAGTAGAATGAAACAGCACTAAAATCCCCTAAATGATGCAATTTGAATTTTGATGAGACAAAATTCTGGTACTGAGCAGAGCATTCTAAGCTTCCCACTTTTGGCTGGCTTTCTCAACCCTGTGCCCTTTGATATAATGGGAACGTACAACTTTAGCCCTGTAAAAAGCAACTGTTTACCCTGATAAGCTATAAATACCAACAGTAGCTTACTAATGAGTTTGGCACAGCTGTCAGGGAATGTGCAGCAGGGGTATGGCAGATTTTGTTCTCACAAAATCACCTTTTCAGTATATTATTGTGATCCAAATACTGTCTAAACTGAGCACAACTTCAGGTTAAATCTTCTGTGACTAAATATTCTGCTTGCTTTCAGGGTATGTTGAGATATATATATATTATTTACTTCATTACCCAGACCAGCTGAAGCTTCCCAAATTTTCTCTGCCAAGACTTGCTTTAGTAATACCATCTAGAAGATAGAATGACTGTATATGAAATGGCATATATAGTTAATGCCTTGAAATCACTTTTTGGCACATATTAGTGTTTGATTTCTGTGAGAATCAAGGATCTAAACCTAAGTCCAGAATGATCAGAACAAACAAATAAACCAACCAACCAAACCAAACAAAACCAAACAAAAACAAACAAACAAAGGCAACATGGAGTTCAGCCCAGGCTTTGTACTATACAGACATACCAAATCTTTTCACAGGTACGGTCTTGATGAGTAAAAATAATGATCTGGGAACTCAAATTATGTGGCTGTCCTAAAAATAACTGGCCTTCAGACAGCTGAAGTAACTAATACTTATTACATTGGACTTTCTGACTGATAAAGTTGACCACCCATACCATCTCCAAGAAGAATTCTGCAGAGTTACAGCTGCCTTTTCTCCATGGTTGAGTATCTCTGCTGATAAACGTGTCATGAGGTCCTGTTTCACCAGAAATACTGGACAACCAGAAATTACTTTAGAAGTAACATCTCATCTACGATTCAGAGTTCTCCCACTGTATCTACTTACATTCCACCCTACTTTTCAGCTATTGTAGGCTCTATCATTTCTTCTAGAGGAGAAAACTGTCCCTTTCTCTCCATTCTATCCCACGGGTTTTGCTAGAATTCACAGTGATCTGAA